CCCCCACCCCTTCCCGGAAGGTGCCGGAGCCCTCTGCCCTGTGAGTACCAAGGGCCTGAACCCAGCTGAGATGATTGGCAGGTCTGGCTTCCAACCTTGCCAGTGTGATCCTGGACAAGTTCTGCTCTCTGGGGTCTGGTCCCTGCTCCCCACCACTCTGCCTCAGTTTTCCTTTTGCTGCATCAAGTGAAAACTCAATGTATAAGGCCACAGTGATCTGGCCTCCTGTTGCCTGTCTCCCTGGCTTCCACCTGCCCCTTTTCCAACACGGCACACTCCTGCCCCAGGGCCTTTGCTCTAGCCCCCCCACCCCCCAGTCTGTCACCGTCTCGGGAGGCCCAGTGAGGCCACAGCTCCCTCGCAGCAGTGCCTGGACGTGCCGCCCTCCCACCTCGCGTGCTTGTCTTGTTCCTTTTTTCCAGTGTGCTTTACCCTCCTGACCCGTCCTGTGATGGACTAATCTTTTTATGGTTATTGTTTATTTTGCATCCTTTCCACTCAGACTTGACTCACTGGGCAGAGGTTGCCTGTTGCTCTTGCTCGTGGCTGTATCTTGGGTGCCTGCCACCCAAGGCGAGCTTGGGTACTGTTTGCTGAATGAATGAGTTCACACAGGTGTGAGAGCTCCAGGCCTCCCCCCTTGGATAACTCCACTCCTCCCTCCAGGATTCCAGAGCCTGAATCCCCAGGGAAGCCAGCCGTCCCTGCAGCCTCCACAGCGCCCACGGTGGACTCCCGGGACCGCCGGAGGTAAAGAGGCCCTGGGGGTAGTCTCCCAGCTGGAATAACTACCTTACCCAGGAGGCCCCAGAGCTCGGCACAGGAGCTCCCAAGGGAGAGTTTATCCCAGGGTCTGCTGAGAGTTGGAGTCCTCTTGCAGAACTTGCCTCCCACTAAGGGTGTCAGCCATGGGACAGGCCCAGAAGGAACTGTCCCTGAGGTCAGGGCCCTTCACGCAGGTCCTACCAGATGCCTGTGCGTGACGAGGAGTCTGAATCCCAGCGGAAAGCTCGCTCCCGTCTCATGCGACAGTCTCGGAGGTCCACACAGGTGTGGGGGGTGGGCTGGGCCTGGAGTCTGGGGTCTGAGGGAGGAGGGCTGGGGACTGGACTGGGGTCCTGAAGTGGCTGTGCCCTGAGCCCTGGGCCCTGACTGCCCCCTGTCCCTGCAGGGCGTGACTCTGACAGACCTGAAGGAAGCGGAGAAGGTGGCAGGGAAGGCTCCAGAGCCAGAGAAGGCATGCCCACAGAGCCTGGTGAGAGGCCGCGGGGCCAGGTGACTGGGCATTGGGTAGTACAAGGAGGCCCTCGTCCTCTGACCCCTGCCCCTCTCCCACAGGACCCTTCCTGGCAACCCCGAGCCCCTGGGGTTGAGAACTCTGATGGCTCTGCCCAGAGAGGTGAGGTCAGGTCTCCGGGAGGTCGTCCTCCTGAGCCCACCCAATACCTCCCGCCGCAGTCTTCCCGTTTCCTGGAGTCTTGGGCCCTGGGACCCTGACACCAAGACAGGGGATTCCTGATTCTTGCCCCTCCCCCAGTAGACACGCCTGACGGGCAGGGGCAGGGACCACAGGCCGCCAGGGAGCAGCTCCGAGCTGGCAGGGAGCGGAGAGGGCCTGCGGAGGTGAGGCTGGGCCGGGAGTGGGCAGCTGGAGGTGTGGGTGGGCTTTGGCAGCGGTGGGGGGGGCTGGGGCACACCCCATTCCAGCACCCACTGAACCGCACCCCGCCCACAGGGGGAGGAGGCGAAACCAGCGGACAGCAGCCCGGAATCCAGGTACAGGTCGGGCAGGGCAGGGCCTGGGCTGGGCGGGCCTGCGCCCCTGACGTGTGCTTTCCTCCACCCCAGCACTCCCGAGGCCGGCCCGGCACCGCGAAGGCACCGGGACCGCCACCCAGAACCCGAATCGGAGGAGCCCGAGGGAGGCTTCAGGAAGGTTCGCGACCCCACCCCACGGTCCGTGCCGTTACCCAGCCCCGCACGTCTGCCCCACGCGCCTGCCCCACTG